GGATAATTTTGAGCTATTTCAACAAGTTTTAAAATAAACTTGTCAAAAATATCTATTAAATAATATAAAATAAATTATAATATGAATGTTGTTATAATCCAGAATTTTTGGAGTAATAATAAAAGAATAATTTATATTTTAATTAAATACTTCTTTATTGTAATTAATTATATTATTACCAAGAGCATAACAGTGTGTATATATAAGAAATTACATTATTAATAGAACATTCTAGCAATTATTAATAATCTAAAGTATTGATAATCAATATTAATAATAGATAAAACATGGAATAAGATTGATAATTATCTAGATCATAATTAATAAGCAAACTACTATAATAATAAAGGAAGATCTAGATATTACAAAAGGAGTGTTGTTTATCCATGTATCAATTTATATTAAATTGATCAACATCAAATCTAAATTAATTAATAATTATTATTATTAATTTAAGAAATTAAAATAAATTATGATGTAATTTCTAATTTAAAATCTTTAATATTAATTTTCATATAATCTGAATAAATTCAGATTGTAACAATGTTTAGTATATTAATTATCTTATCATTATTGGACAATTCATGTCATAATATTATTGAATAATATTTATTAATATCTTATTTAATACTAGCTAGAAGAGATCTTATTTGTTAATATTAGATGATAGAACAAGTAATATAATCATAACAAAGTTAACAAAATGATCTGAACTAAACTAGTAATTAGATTCAAGCTAAATCAGCAATCTAATTATAGCAAAAATAGCAATATGATACTAGCAAAGTAAACAATTAGATCTTAGTAAAAGTAATAATAGTATTATAGCAAAAGTAACTTTCGTAGAATTATCAAATGTTATAAAAGCAATATAACTTAACTAGTGATTGAAAAATAAGTTGAATACTTTAATAAAAGTTTGATTACTTCGATAGAAGTTTAATCATTTCAATAAATATCTTGTTAAATAATTTATTAAAAGTTATATTTGATATTGATTTTGATCTTGAAAGATAAATTACTATTGAATGACCAATTGTTATATTTAACTTGAAAGACAATCATTTGAAAAACTTATCATCTTGGATTATTACCTTTTGAATTATTAAGAAACTTAGTAAAGTTTAGTGAAGTTATTAAATATCATTCTAGCTTGTCACAACTAAAGATGGCACAGCAAGTACGTAATGCTTATTTGTCACTTGTTGCAACACGTTACAACTCCAAAATTTTATAAGCCACAACTAGTTGCAACTAGGTGATGCTTTATTTGTCACCACGTTGCAACAGTTGCTGCACCATCTTTAGTCACAACAAGAACACACATTATCTACCTTTAGTAATAGTTTTTAGTCTCTTTCACCATAAAACTTAGTCTTTCTCATTATTTAGTTAGTAAAAATACGTGATTAACACGTCAAAACTTAACACATATAAAAATGGTAACAATAGTGAAAAATTAACGAAACTCCTCCACCTCTCCTCCCTAACAAATTTTAAATTTTAAATTTTTTATTTTTTTACCATTACATTTGTTATCGAGATGTTATTTTTTTTTGTGGTATTGGGAATCTCAATTCGAATTATAATGCAATCCGAATTGATCAATTCGGATTGCATTATAATTCACTACCTGGTTCCTCAAATTAGGAAATTTGAAATTTGGTTCGAGAAAAGTGGTTCTAATATTTAGGGGTGAGGGTAGAGCTTAATCTTAAGTAGTACAAAATTAGGCATTTTGATTGGGTAAAGCTCTTACCTTGGGTGAAGAAGGCACCTCTATCAAAATAATATTAGCTAATATCAGCACTCTTAATGAGAAATCGGATCATTTGGATGTTTCGAGTGCGTGTAGTATACAGTATTCGATCCAAGGTAATAAATTATTACTAAATTTTATTATATATGTAATTATCAACTATAACTAAAATGTAAAAAAGTTCAAAATATAACATATTATTTCATTGAAATTAAACTCACCGGATGATCTGAACTACTCATAAAAATCACACAAAAATTTTCCAAATCGACTATTATAATCAGTCAGTCAAATCCGATTACGGATTGAAGGAAGTATAATTTTTGTTGTCAGCCAAGATTTTTCCACTGATAAATCATATTTTTGGGCGATCGTAACGATTCGGACCACTAGACAAATTCACTCATGATCCGAAAAATATATAATTGTCAATTTTTGTTAAAATTTTAAAGCAGAAATTCACACTTTTATTGTGGATTTTCGGAACATAGGTCGGCGAATCCGGAGGTGGAACTTTGCTATAAAGAAATTTAAATATATATCATAAATAGTGTATTATTCTAATTATAAAAAAATATTTGCTAATGATATATTGATAGTCGCTCTTTTACATCAAAGTGAAGTGTTCTTATGAAAAGGCGATGAATAAATTCCGAAGATTCAAGAAATATCATTAGTATAATCGTCACCAACTTCACGACTACGAAATCTTTTTAATGTGGAAGGAGCAACGCCAAATTCATCGGGACACGGAATATTTTGTTCACAACATATCACTCTGATTAGTGCGTAATGATGGATCTACGATATAATATTAATATTTTTAAGTAAGAAAAATAAAATAAAAATAAGGTTTAATCAAGTTACCGCATGAAGACAGCAAAACCACAACTCTCTTCCAAAAGTAGTCGAAAAATTCATTGGTTTCACTTTAGGATTAGAGTCAATAATCGCTTCCAATTGAATCGGTGCTAATAACAGAGATTTATTTTGAAAACTGTTTAATAATATGTTTTGTAATTCTATAATTTGTTGTACTGCAAATGTAAATGATGTTTCAGTGACCTAAAATATACAAAGTATGTAAATATTGAAAGAACAGAGGGACTTCCATCTAATTAGTCAATAAAATCAAGCGTCTTTGCTCACTTGACTTTTTCGATCATCATAATTGACGGTCCATTTCACATCACTATTGTCAATATCAGTGCTGGCACTGCCGTTGATAATATTTTCTTTAGCTATACTTCTATTTGATGATTCGTTTTTTATAAGTAACAGGTGAAAATGATCAAATATGTGTCTGTTTGGAGTGAAAATAATAAATTATTATTATTGATTTTATAATCTCTCATCTTAACTGTGAAATTATATTAAAGTTATTAGTTTTATAATCTCTTATCTTAACTGCAAAGTTATATTAAAGTTATTAGTTTTATAATTTCTCATCTTATTTATACCTTACATGTCGCCCTATTGTACTTGTTGGTATAAATTTACTTTTCCACGTATAAGTCTCATTAGAAGGTAACGACAGAAGTAAATTGACGCACTGCTGTAAAATTTGACAGGAAATTTTATTCAGCTCTTGCTCTTTTCCGGAATTCGTAGTATCAGTAATTTCAGAACCAGTATTTAGATTACTATTATTTAATGCACTAATCATTGTAGTAGTTGATTTTGTAGTTGAATCGATGTGTTGATTTTATAACAAATTTTATGGTTTATTAGTAATTATGATGCAAAAAATAAATAGATCAACATCTCACCACTTGTTATAAAATGTCTCAAATACATTCTGGAAAGCAAACTAGTATACAAGAATCCTTTATCAGTGCTGCTAGAAACATTTTGAGAAGCAATTCTACTACCTTGTGGGATTGTGGCTCGAAGTTAGACACCCATGAAAATCTTATTCACGCGATTGATGCTCTTCTTGCAATCAATGTAACCAATGTCTGTTTAAATGAGCAAGAATGTTTAGAATTGTTGATACTTGGGTGTAAATCTATAAATACCTCTAGCGAACAGCTCGTTTCAAAATTCAGTAAAATTCTCTTTAATATGTTTAATAAACAACAGGTAGTCAGCAGCAACCTTTATTTATCGTCAATCTACGAATAACAGAGAATGATACTAATTTTTGTAACATAATCCTGGGGTAGTTTAATTTTCACTCAATTACAATAAGAGAATCTCTGGAAGTTCTATTATCGTTTTTGATTGATGCTTATTCATCAAGTTCCTACACCTCATCAAAAGTAGACATATTAAGGGCCCTTAGCAAGGTCCTTTATGAGAATGGAAACCAATGTGAAAAGGTTTTAAATCATTTATAAATTATTATTAATTCACGTCGCTTCTTTCAAAAGTTTTAATCTGGAGTTATTATATAAATCTAGTTTCATGATCGACTCCTCAACATGCTGATTCTGCTTGCTCAACCTAATAATCCTCAACTAGAAATACGCCGTATGGCCATCAATTGTCTGGGAAATTTAAGTGCTCGCACTGGAAATAAGTTGCACGGAAAATACCGTAGCATTTATGATGTTTTATTTGCTAATTTAAATGCGGGTATTATTGAGTCGGATGAAATCGCATCATCAAAGGTATTTATTATTTTATTTTTATTTTTATTCTTTCGTTGTTTAATTTACACTTATTTTAATACGTGTTTATTCGTAAGATTATAAGTAGCGCTCTTCGCGCTTTGCACTTTGTAATAGCCGAAGATAAAAGTCTTCTGAAGGAGCCTTTTGGAACTGCAATTGAAACTATTCGGATATACGTTTTCTTCAAGATAGGAGAGATGACGACCCTTTCGATAGGTCAAAAAATTTCACTATAATAGAAAATAACGTTTTCGCGAATTAAACGGTTTAACTGAAATAAAAATGAAATTATTAGCGTAGATCGCACGCCAAGGAATCAAATTACACGATCTTATGCCTCTACGTCTTCATCGAGAACATCTCAAGCACGCAATCCTCGCGAAAAATCTACTTATCACCATCGATCCAGTAATCATTCTTGGTTAAGTTCTGATTCTGAACTTTCTGATAGTGATTATAATCAAAATAAGAGAAAGTATGTGGTAATATTTAATATGAATTACGTAAAATACATAATTTGCACGTTTAAAAATCATAGAAATTAATTAAATAACTTTCTGATAGTGATGACTCTCGAGTTCGATTGAATGCCTTAGGATGCTTGCAAAGCATTGCGCGAGTAATTATTCAAGATTTTGCTTTGATATGAAAGTTTTGAGTGTTATAATTTTCTAATATTCTGTTAAAACCTTTCAAAACACGTAAGGCATCTCCAAAATTATTATATCCTTATTGGAATAAATTTCTTCCTGATGCGCGTACTTTATCCACCTCACCTTCGTTATTTACCATAATATCATGCGATCCGATTCAAACAGTTCGTGTTGCGGCATGTTCTTCTATAACAACTTTGATCGATAGGTCTAAACAATACTTATCTCTCGCAGATGATAGGTAATTAGAATATTCATTACTGATCACCTTTTCAATTCAGATTAAAATATTTTTAATTTCAGGGAATTAAAATCTTCGTTCACATCCCTATCTGCTAATTTGGGTGCAATTGTGCGTCAGCTTCATCACGAGCTGATTAATGCTTTAAGAGAAGAGCAACAAACAATTATGCTCCTACAATTGCTTAAGGTTTTATCTTGCCTTATTTTTTTGTTAGCCTTTTGGTTTCATTATTGAAATAATTCGTTATTCTTTAGTGTTGTAATGTCCTTGTAAATAATGCCGCTTATGATCGTCTTTCTGGCGGATATTTAACACGTCTTTTTAACGCAGTATTGCCATTATTGTTTATTAAAGGTATTTTCTAATTTATTCTGAGAATATTAAATCTTGTAATTTTTTAAATTTTTATTTATTTATTATTTAGATACCTCAATACGAATTGCTGTATTTAATTTGATCTCTGCCATGATAGAATGTAAATCAAATACAGATGAAATTGCGTTTTTATTTCAAGAGCAATTAATAGAAATTTCAAAATCCGAATTAAAAATATCACCTATCGCAGAGGGAAATTCACGAGTGAATCTATTGATGTATCTTATAGCCTTGATTAATGATTCTCAACAGCCTTCTACATTACGAATAGAGGCATGGGGTGTATTATGTGTTTGTACGCATTTGCATTTTTTGATCATACGGTAAGTGAAATTATTATTACTAAAAGTTTCAAAATGAAAGGATTTTATCATTTAACCTTTTATTCCATATAGTTCTCAATGGACACAACTGAATAATCTTATATCTGCAGATCTGCAGAATGAAGATCTCAATATAAGAGCAGCAGCTATGAAATTTCTTGAAGAATATGCTAAAGCAGCCGCAGCTCATTCTAATCCAACCAATCAAAATAACAATGAAAATGATGAAACAATAGTAAGTCTGTTTGATCTTTCATATTTTCAATTATTATTTATTTAATCTCTGTTATTATAGGATCATAGTAAGAATACTGACACAATACCAGCTTCTGAGCTACTTCCATGGTGGATGTCCACGCTGGATCATTATATACAAAAGTCTTCCTTAGACACTTGTCATGCTGTCCGTGCTTTGACCTGCGATTGCTTATCCCATATTTCGTCAATCATATTTTCCGAAATGCCGGTAACTGTCTTTTTATGTGTCTTCAGAGAGTTTCTCGTCCATGCTAAGATCCCAATTAAATGTTTAGACAGATCGAGCTATGTATTCTATTACTTTGCTATTACGGATGGTTCAAGATGAAAGCCCTAATGTGCGCGCTTCTGCGTGTCGAACTTTAGGTGTATTTATTCTTTTCCCTTGTCTTTCTGAGGTAAATTTAATTTCTTTATTGATTAATTTTTTTATTAACAAATGTAAATAATTGATAACTTTTTCTTATACAAAGGACACTATTTTCGCTACAGATATGGCATTGTCTATAATTCAAAATATTTCAGATGCAACCTTACTTGTGCGTATCAGAAGCAGTTGGGCACTAGGAAATCTATGCGATTCTTTAGTAACGTTAAGGTATGGGCATTTAATTGATACAAGTCTCTAATATATTATAAAGTTTTATATTCTGAAATTGAAAATAATATAAAATAGCGAAGTTGGTGAAAACAAAGAAATTTCAAGTTCTGTGCTTGATTTCTTGACAGTTGATATGTTTAACAGGATTATTGTAGCTGCTCTTGCTGCATCTGTTGACAACGATAAGGTTTCCTTTGCATTTTTCAGAGTTGCATAGCTGTTATAAGCTTTTTATTAAATATTCGTCTCTTTTAGGTTCGAGTAAATGCAGTTCGGGCATTGGGAAGTCTTATGCGAATTAGTCCCGAGAGATATTTATTAAAAGAACAAACAGGATTGGTCAAAGACGTTGTCTTGGCATTAACGAAAAACTTTGATCATGGATCACTAAAAGTATTTGTCATTACTAATAATGATCTCAATTTTTCCACTGAATGATCTAAAAGATATACTTTTAATATAATTAAAGGCACGTTGGAATGCATGTTATGCTGCTGCGAATATGCTACGTAATCAAGATTTTCCTATCGGGATAAACGATTGGACTACTTCTCTATACGACTCTCTTTCAAAAGTCGTAAGATCTGCAAAGAATTTCAAGGTGCGAATCAATGCTTGTTTGGCTCTTTCAATGCCAAATTCTAGGGAAAAATTTGGAAATGTTGGAATGTTTAGTAGAATTTTCGAAGTGATTGTGGTAGCCTTGGAAAATGCAGACAACATGAACGAGACTGGTTTTGAAGAATATAAATATCAAGAAAATTTGAAATCACAGGTATATATAATTAATTACCTTATAACTTTTTGTATTTTTGTCACATAAATTTCTTCTTTTTTACTGTATCTTTTTTATAGCTGTTGGAAACTTATGAACATTTAAAAAATTTGGCAACCGATGATGATAAAGTTTGCATCCAACCTTTAATTGAACGAGCGTCAAGCTGCATTTTAAAAAACAATTAAGAACACAGTTGATATTAGTAAATATACTATTAATTTTATATTATAATTTGAATATCTACCTACATGTATTTCTTTAATATTAAAAATCCTACGAAATAATATTTTTACATTGTCTTTTCAATAATTCTATATTATTCAAAAGTGATTTTTTCATAAATGTATTGATTTTGTCTGCAATCGACCTCACGTAATCCAATTCATTCAAGATGTCGTCACCATGCTTTGTAACTAGTAATAACATAATCTGTGCTAATTTTTTATTTTCTGGTTGTTGTTCTATATTATGATTCAAGTGGGATAAAAATGATATCAAGAGATCACGATCCCGTAACGAAAATTTCTTGTTAAAAATTACAATCAATATCTCGATTGTTAAGTCTTTCCAATCATTCCCAAGGAAATATCGTGATTGTTCGGTTGTTCCGTTGTCTGTCGTTGCTACTGATGACGATGTGGTGTCGCGAAAAAGTTCCCTATTTTGGTAATATCAAAAAAATTCAAAAAACAAGACAGTTTGCTCAAATATATACGATTATAGATAATACTTGCTGTATTAAAATCAAGATATTCGCATCGTTTATAGACTCCTTTATTATACGCGTGATTATATCTAGCTGGGGCCGACCTTATATAATAGTTGGCAAGTTAAGATTTATAATGTTTCGAGATTCATTATAAAAAAAAAATAAGATGCTTACCAATTTTTTGTGTATCTTTCATTAACGGCAACAATAAACCATATATTATTGGTTTATTTTTAACACTTGCAGTTTTCATTATAGTAGCTAAAAAATTACGCGATGGATTGGCGGACAGGTTACAAACCTTCATTATTAAATTATATACAATAGTTGATTAAGACTCGATTATGTATTTTACTATTCAAGAGATAAATAGTGTATGTACCTTCTTGAAGAATGCAGTTCTGATTAGCATTATGTGACTTTGATAAGGAATATCTACATTTCTGGCGAATTCTTGAAAGAATGAATCGAAGGTATCTTCCGGCATTAAGGTAAAATCTAGACCATCGCATATAATTTGCACCTTTTGATCAATATCGACAAAAAAACCGTAACTCGATCATGTTAATCATATTCGAAGAAATAATTTAATTTGATTGAAAATAAATATACTTGAGCAAAAGGCATAGACATCAATGATCCAATATCTTTGCAAAATTCCTTATGATCCATTTCTTTGTTCACAATCATTAAATTGATACGATTTATATGCTGCTCAAGTTGCCGATTATTTTCTTCTTTTTGATTTTGCAATATCTCAGCATCATGATTTTGCAACCTCTCATCATCAGACTTTGAGGCAAGTGTTGTTGTGATAACAGGTTCAGACTCTGCAATTAAATTTTATTGATATTAATTTTGATTGCACATACAAATTATCACCAAAAAATTAATGCTAAATCCGTACCGAGTTCTGAATTATTCAATGTTTTTGGTTTATTTTGTAGAGAATATATTATCTGTTTTCTCCGTTTTCTTTTGAGAGCAATTTCCTCTCGAGATACGTAAATATTCATCAAGAAAAATTATTATATCTTAGGACTCTCATTAAATATCAGGAAAAACATATTTCATTATTTTTAAGAAGGATATAAAAACAGGCGCCTCTTGATTTTATATTTTACAAAGAAAATTCGAATTAATAATTTTCAATTTTCCACGATAAAATCAATAATAAACAAGACATCTTTTCTACCTCGATGAGGATTTTCTTCTTGCAAATTCATCAACCAATCTCTGATAGTGTTATGGTTATCTGCACCAAATACTTCATTGACAGCTTGACCATATTGAAAAAATTCAGCGTGTTTACAAAGTTCCGCTTTGCAGGATTGTAAATGTTGCGCGTTTAATGGATGCATTAGGTTAGACATTACATGTTATGATCATGATTTTTGTATCTTTGATGGGTTGGGTGAGTGATCAATTTAATTAATTTATCATGCTTTAAAATAAATATATTCGCTCGCAGTCTAAAAAATTGATATTTCTAAGAGCCAAAATAACAATATCGATATTATACAAGAAATTATTTTCAGCTAATAAAATTAATTCTACTCAAAAATATGAATATAAGTGTATGTTTTTTTATGAGTTAACGGAATCTTGCAGTACTGTACTGTATATTTCGTGAATCTTCAAGATTCTTTTCTATGATTATATAATAGTGAGAAATAAATAGAAGTTTAAATGGTTATCATATTGCGGTTTCGTGTGATGTCGAGTACTAAATAATATTGATGAATCAAAAATCCATTAGTTATCATGAAAGTCGTAGAAAAAATATCGATAATAAATAATTTGCTTACCTTGTCTTTACAATGATAATGAACAACGACGCCATTAGGAAAGACAGCAAACACACTAAAAAAATTTAATTAGCGTTTAATATAACGAATAATTCTTGACTGATTGATGACAAAATATCAAACGAACCTATGGCCAATACGTCTTGTACATTGAGGACACATACGATCCTCATCAATCTTTACTCTTCGGGATCGGTAAAACATCAATTGTTCTTGAGCCTGAATCATGAACAATCGTAAGTTTAACTATAACAAAACGAAAGATCTATATATATTATGTTTTTACTGACCTGAGATTGATCGGCCTTTAATAGATTTTTGACAATCATATTCATATTCCTATTTCGATTACTTTCTCGAATATACTTCTCTACAAAGCCATACAACTGTGACACTTTTATGTTTGGTGGTAACATTTCTATGGCCTATGAAAATGAATGAAGGTCAATGTTATATAAAGATAGCTATTCAGAATACAAAAAAAAAGGAGATTATAGTGGACAAACCTCTGAGGCATTGACATGTGTTCCGTGTCGTGACAACAATCGTAGAGCTGGCTCTATCATAACTTCTTCTCCATCGCTTGGTTTTAGATATACTCGAAGCAATGATAAAAAGACTTTTTTTATTGGATTGTTTTTGTCATTATATTTCTTAATACAGTACCTGAATAGATTTGTAAAAATATAACGCACATAAGCGAAAAATTTTTAAAGGATTCTATCGATTTGATCATCAATTGATACTCACTCCTCCGCCATTTTTTCATCCTTCAATTTGTGCACATAAATATGTAACGCTTGATCATGCTGGCCAAGTCGACTAAGTAGTTTTGCCCTTGCTGCAAAGAAATCTGTGTGGAAGATTTTATTATTAAACATCTCGCCCAAATTAATACTTGCTCTTGAAATATTATTATAAATTAAAATTAAATACCGTCGAATCGAAGCTGTCCTAAAATCTTCTCTGCTTTGTAAAAGTATGATTCGTCCAAAAAATCCAAGAGTTTTTTATCCGTTTCCACCAATGATTTTTGTATTATTTCTATCATTGATATCTATTCTATCAATATATTGCATAACATACCTATAAAATCAAAAAAGATAACATTTTGACATACCCGAATCACCGTTGATTTCAATTTCATTATGCAATCGTCTTAATTTGTTTAAATATGCCATAATCAACCGATTATGATAGTCAGATGTTTGATCTCCCAGCTCGTGTATAATATGTTCAAGAAATATTATACAAAGATCCGGGGAAAATTGCTCCAGATATTTTAAGATTTTATCGCGCGGTAATTTTTCAACTTCCGGATGATCATCAATGAAGATCTGCAAAGGATAGCGTTAATAGAATATCTTGATAGATCATGTTATTGAGTAAATTTTTTTACCTCCATCCCTTCCACTGGATTTGCCTCCAATACCCAAGAAGCAAACTCAAGTATTAGATCAAAATAATCCGGTCCCAATTTTTGAAGATAAATTATAGTATGAAAAGTTCCTTTCATTGGGCCTTCTGAAGATTGTCCGAGCCTTCATTAAAATCATCAAGTATTTAAAATGAGAATAAAGTAAAAATACACTAAATTCTTCTCATTGTGAACCATAATAAATAATTATACATTTTCAACAATTCCAAAGATTTTTGATGAAGTCCTTTTCCATGATATAAATCAACCAACTCTTTATATTTCTGCATGTTCAGAAATATATTAATATTTTTATGCGAGTAAAAAAATGTTGATTTCAACCTAAAGATACCTTTCTTTCTAACAAAAGTCCCTCGCTCTCTCCTACGTTACAATGATTTGGTACACGCAGAAGAGGTCCGACCAATGCATCGTTTTTAATCATATAAGATTTAAGCAAAGATGTATCGACCAACTCTGCAGTCTTCATAATTTGGTGTGTGTCAAGATTTGAAAGGCTATTTAAAGAAGGACGATTAGAAGATGGTGATCCGGGAGGTGTAGAGTCGATAGATCGATGTGATTGCAGATGAAGAATTTTCGAAATTTTTTGCCGTCGATCGGTCAGAAATCTTATTAATGCTGAAACGGCTTCTCCGAGGATTTTACCCTCTTTTCAACATGATATTAAAAAAAATCGGTAAGAGACCAATACAAGATTGATCAAAGTAAAATTCCAAACAACAAACCTAATTTATTCTCATTTTTTTCTGTTTCTTTGACAACAGTTTCAGCTTCTGACAATTTTTCATCATCATTTATCGAAGCCATATTCTGGGAATCATCACCCGTGATAGAACCCAGTTCGTTTGCTACAGATAATTGATGTGATTCCGCATCGTTCTCTGATATTTTCTCTGTTGGCTTATCTATCGATTCTTGATCTCCCTCCGAATCGGATTCGCCTGAAATAGATGGAGGATACAGAGCAATCACTTCGGCGGGATCAGTTTCTAATTCTTGAAAAATTGTGATGGCTTCGTCAAATTTTTGTTGACGAAATAAATGATGCGCGTAGAGATTACGGATTTTTTTAAGTTTGAGATCCTGGTTAAATAAATATTGATCAATAAATTTGCAATTAAATTAACAAAAAACTAATCGAAATATAATTTACTACTTTATCGTCCAAAAGAATAGGTTCAATCTGCTCGGTTAAACTTATCGCTTCTTCGTATTCCGACTGTTCAACTAATTGATCAATCTTATATATCAATGATGGGCAGGTAAGAATAGAGTTATTGAATAATTAATCCCATTGATCGATCAATTATACTTGAATGGCTAACTAACTAAAGTCTACCTGTTTCTCAAAATTATATGGAATAAATCTCCATACTGTACTATTGTTGGCAATATATAAATATTTGCCTCCGTTTATGAGCCGAGCTTGTGGCAATTCTACCATTTGCACCAATGTTTGCGTTACGATATTTCTTACTTCCACATGCTTCGGAAGGATTGCAATGAGATATGGGTAAGAGAATCCTTTAAACAAGAAAATAAATAATTAGAATATAAAAAGATCGTTTTAATATTCTATTAAGCTTTTGCATACCAATTTCTTCTGGCATTCCCGACCAGTCTATCCCAGCTCTACGAGTTGGGTTACCGTCCAATCCAACAAAGATGCTCATATCTGATAATAATAGGACAACAGTGCAGATAACACAAACAAGCGTGGGTTAATTACCATCCATTGCACCGCTTATGGGTCGTCAATATTGATGAGTAGTAATTTACTAGACATTATAAATTGAACTCTCATCAAAATGACGGTTTATGCTAAAGAATTAATCCCGCACGCACATTGCATGATACGCACTATCTTTCGCCAAGAGAATCTCATCATTTGGTAGTTTTGTTACCAACGGCTTATTTACTCTTGGTCCTATCATATAAGGAATATACGAAGAGGTGCCAGAGCTTGGTGTGCTGGAAGGAGCAAAAAGATCGGTAACGGTGCCAGAAGTAATGTCAATTAATGCATATTCATTCGCAAGTCCGAGGCAAAGTTTTTTCGAGCTAACCCAAGCCATTGTTCGAATTTTATCAGCAATTGCAAATTCCTGCGGTTTTATTTAAATTAGCGTGACGATAAAATTAAATAAACAGGTCAATCGATATATTTTGAAGAATTCAAAAAAGTGACATACCTTTGTATCGGTAAACTCACTATCTCTCCAAATAAAAATAATTAATTTTCGTCTAACCCCCACAGCAAGGCGTGTAACAATCATCGGTATTCCTTTACTTCCTTCATCTTGACTAATCTCAATTTTTGTATCAATAGTAAATATATTTGCACCACGTGTCTTTGCGAGTTGTTTTTGTAATTGAAAAGTATTCAGATCGAAGATGCTAACATGTGAATCTTAAAAAACAGTTTATTATCAATACATTAAAATAAATAAATATAGAGAGATATATATATATATATATGTTTCTGACAAATCCTTATCTTCAACACTAACCAGCTAGTGAGACGAGCACACCAATCTCTTTAATAATATCCAATTGATCAATTTTACTTCTGGCAAAGTTTTTGAAAGTTTCAATTAATGCGACGGACAAGGATTCTTCACCTGTTCATTCCATTCAATTCGTCAAAAGAGCGAATGAATGACAAAGTCTAGGTTTACGTTACTAAATTTTTTAAAAGTAGATAAATTGAAAAACTGAGGTTATCAAACACACCTAAGGGGTCATGAACTTCGTATATCGATAAAGCGCCTGTTTGGGAACCTACCAGTAACTTGTCACCTTTAATGTTATCAAGACTGTTAGTAAATGGGCAAAGTAGGAAAGAGAAGATAAACATATTAAGGCGGCAAATGCAAACCATAAGCAAAAATGGCTTCAATTTTGTGTTGAAATTTATCAAGTGCAACAGAAACCTTGAAGGCATCGTGCATCTTGGACGAAGACTAACAGCAGTTTCCGAGATAATTTGTTAAAGTGTCCTTGATTATCACCAATTGATTCAACTGATTTAAATTTTAACGATCCGCGGAATTGATAAAAGTAGTTACGATTATTCAATCTGCTTACCATATCGAATATGGGGGGTTCCTTAAAGCAAGGCAAGCCGTTTAGCTGGCTTAGCCACAACACGCCACATCTGATCGGTAGCACATGATTGAAAAATTGCCAATCAAATTTAACCACATAATACATATTCTTGTTCTCCTTTACTT